AAGAGTTCAAGACTGATAGTGAGTGCATTGCTCGTTTTTCCCCACACTCCAGTAAGTAAGGTGTTCTAACAGATCAACGTTCACTTTCATGAAAAAGTTAGCCTGTATATACGTATCCCATGGTCACTACGATAACGAAAGGAGATGAAAGCGTGGCGCGTCAAACCCATGAGTCGGAATGGAAGGCCTTTCCACGCCCGTTCCTGAAACACCTATCCTGTTCGAGTGTAACCAAAGTTAATCGATCACCTTTGCGAGTGCTTCGCCTTCTTGAATTGAGGGAATTTTTCGAGTGTAGTGCAAAGCTTCTGCAGAAGTGATTGGTCTGATCCGTTCGGGACGACGCACTCCTCTTCCAACAGCGAAAGCAAACCAAGTGGCTGAAAAATGTTCAGTTTGCAATGGGCTCACGTTCTGCGTATTTTCAAAAGTATTCATTAAATGATTAAGTGCATTCACCGATCGTCACCGCTGGCTAGTGGTTGCCTTGGGGCAGAAGATAAGTAAAAGAATGCAAGGTAGATTGAATGGTAGCGATTCCTTGTTTATATTCAGATGTCAAACCCAGTGCTGAGGCTATAGTCGCATATTACGGTAAGCTGACCAACACAGCTCATTTGGTTGAAAATTTTGAAAGGATTTACGAAAACCCGAACGTACTCACTTTTTCGATAATGTCGATCGTAGGTTGAAGGTCGAGAGCGAAATCGCTCTGTATCCATTGAATGCCCTCTTGCAAATACTCGCTTTGTTCTCGTACGAACATAAAGTGATTGAAGAACGCTTGCAGTTTCTCATTTGTATAGTTGATGCACAACTGCTCGAACGAATTCTTCTGAAAATCGTGCCCAATCGACAATCGGTTTTGCATGTCAGTCTTCGCTAGGATTGATCAGGCGCTAACGCAAGATAGGGGGAGGGATTCTGACGGCAAATGATTCGCAGCCGGGTCAAAAGGTTTCTTGTTATAGTGGAACCAAGCCTTAAAGGCAAAGTTCTCACTTAATGCCCCACTTAATGAGCCTTCGCTGTGGCCAGAAACGCTGAGTGCGCAAGTGCAGAAGTCACCTTACTTCCTATGTCAAAAGCGTTACTTAGACGCTAGGCGCTAAGGACTTTGGCAGACTCCACCAGTACTGTCATGCTCCGCCCACTCGATATCAATGTTGATCTGCTATGCTCTCTCTTACTCGGACTTCTCTACCGCTCTCCGCGCTCACATTATCTCTCATCTCCCTGCCGGCCTTTTGAACTTCTCCGCAGCGTAGAGCAAAGGCTCGTATTTCCTGTGTATTTCACGATTTTTTTCCTTTTTTCTCCACTGGCGGTCCACTTCCCACCCCTACTTTCACATTTGAGTGGAATTACCTCATCAATTTAAGTCATGAATCTTGCCTTTAAGGGGAGGGAAGACTCCAGCGTGAATTTTTCTTTTCGCCGTAGTTCCTGTTCACCTTTCCTGAGCTTAGTCCTAGAGGATGCCCCGTATCTTGCGATAGCGCCATGTCAGCCTTCGTAGTGATTGATCAAATAGTTCAGTAGCATACCTGCACAATTTCAAAACCAGCGATATCCAAGACTCCGATAAATGAGCTCATAATGGATTCCGTCACTGAAAACAGGACATAGATCGATAACAAATCAATTTTAGTTTGAAAATACGATTAAATACTCTCCGCACTGAAAACATGGATAAGGCATTAGGCGTTGATCACCCTAAGGTACGCCATGCTTTCGTCGCCCGTCATTCATGAGGCTGGTTACTAAAGGTTCTTTTTTTGCCATTAATGTTTTCACTTTCATTATTTCTACCCACAGTTGTTCTAAGCTGGCTAAAGAGTCCTTCGCAGTTATCATACTAATATATAAACCAGGTTGTCTATTCAAATATCATAAAAAAGCTTTTTGCCGTTGATCAATCCCGTCTTGGGATGCGGCACATTCATTCTACTTCCATTTGTACATTCGTAGTGGCGTTTGAATGCGATGTGGCCTATACAATGACTTGCATGGGCCAGCCGATGCTTTGCTCAGCGTCTTCTCGTATGTATGCTTTTTGTCATTTGAGGTCATAAATTAGAAGCGTGAGGTAGTTTCTTCAAAGAAAAGAAGACCTTAGTATATTTGTTACACAGTCACAGTTGTTTCCACTCCTGAGAATTCTGGCCGATGCAAAAAACGTTCTAGACGGGACAGCATCAAAGACCGTCCCACCTAGAAGGTTTTTGCAAGGGCAGCTAGTGTGTTGTGATTGCTGAAAGCAAAGATTGAATAGCAGAAGCAATGAGAAGTACTCGTCGCTGCAGCTGTTATATCATGCATACCTACGCCCATTTGGAATCGTTGAACATCTCGATGGATGCATGAGGTGATACCACTAATCCAGAAGTCCGTAGTGAACCAAGTTAGGTTCCTTGTTGACGTCCTGTTGGAACGGGTGACCCCTGCCTGGCTCTATGTTATTCCCACTTGCTAAATAGATCCCATTCACTCGAGATAACTTTTCTGGGTTGAGAACATGAAAAGGGTGTAGCACAGTTCAGGGTCTACCGTCCCCTCGAAGTAATTCGAACGACTCAACCCAGGGGAGGTCGTTTTTGTGATTTTGAAGGGTTGGGGGAGGTCGTATTCGGGGTGAGCAAGGCCAACTCTTTTGGGAAAGAGCGTGGAGTGCTTTTTCGAGTAAGTTGAAGGGGCGTAGAGAGGAGGGGGTCGTTTCTTAGGGGATCTGTGACGATTTTGGAGAATGCTTATTGAGAAAGGTGGAGAGAATTGTAAGATATGTTGTTTCTTCAGGCTTTTTGTTTAGAGCTCAACGACTGTCCTGGAGAGCATGTGGGCGGAGTTGGATATCGTCTGGTATTAGGACAAAATATTAAGAAATACCATGAATGGGGTGAGAGAGATGGGAGCGTATGGGCCTCGGCATTGGTTATAAAGGAATATTGCGTTTTCCGTGGGTGGGAAAAGTAAAATCTCCGACAAAACTGCGGTCTATCTTGGTATATTGATTTGGTAATGTTCTCGTTTTTTTTCAAATATCACACGGATCTTCCTATACTTTGTGGTACTGAGTGAGTCGGATGAATATTCAGTGCTGGGGCTTCATAAGGCCAGATAGGACACTTCAAAGATTCGAAATTCAAAAATTAAACGGCAATGGTACCGAAAGTGCATAGTCAACGGAATCGTGATTATCAAGTTTTTCTGAATTTATGACTCCTCAATGCTGTATTAGCATCTGAATGCTCGTTTAGCATTTAGAAAAAGCCATTAACACCCTATTCGTGACAGACCTTTGTCAAGCGAGGGAGAACACCGACTGGAAAAATAATGGATTAAGCGTACTTATATTTAATACTATCGGTAGTTACCTTTTGCATGTTCTGATTCTTCCGTATCACTTTGTCACCAACACGTATGCTCGGTTGTGTGAGTGCTTCCACTAGGCGAGACGATTTCAATCCAAGCAGTGACGTCACCGCATCGACTTCTTCAATAAACAGAGATTTGAAATATGTAACATAAGTCTGATATGCTATAAAATATAAATAAAAATACTAAGCAATAGGCACAAATTGTCAAACACATAATAAAAAAAAATGATTCGACCAACATAATAAAGTGAAAGATGGTACAAATGCAAGCATACATAAATGTGTAGACATGAAGAAGGCGAGTTAAAGAATGTAATAAGTATGTAATATAGTGATGAATATAATAAGGAATATAAAGAAATATATAAATAGTGTAAAAATAATAAATAATAAAATAATAAAAAGTTGTAAAAAGGTCGAGTAAAGTGGTCTTGCAGTGGAAGTAATGAATTATGAGCAAATGAAAATAAAGCGATAAGTCCTAATGAGGTCGTCAACTTGCGATCCAGAGGTGTCGCTAGTACAGCATCCCAACAGGTTGAATCGAAGACTTGCATTCTATTGGGTGACAGTTAATATAGAAACTTGAGCGACTATATTAAAATAGAGGAATTCTTCGACGTAAAGTTCTGGAAGCGACAGCGACGTGCACCACCTGATAGCAGCTAGCGGCCGTAGCTGAGCGATACTAGGTGATAGTGATGTAGTGATATAACGAGTAATGCTTGATAGTGTATGGTGTATAAGTAATGCTTCATTAACGATGTTTCTGGGTTTCCTCAGCAAAATTAGAAGGGTGAATGACTCAATATTTAGCGAGCGTGAAAAGGAAGGGGAACAATTGCTATGGGTGACAGTGATAGCTAGTGATATCAGGAGATAATCAGCAAAATGACAAATTGATTTTGATTCGACATTGACGAGTGAATTTGCACACAAGTAGTTGGGAGAGAGCGTCAGATAACCACATCGTACTGAAGCGGGCCTAGTTCCTAAGTTTGGCGTTTTTCTCCACATGTAACAGAGTTGTTTCACCAAGAGTGTTCGAGCATGCGCAAAGTATCATGGGAATGCTCTATTTTCCAAATAAGTCAGTAAAGCTTACTATGACTTCCTCACAAAACCAAGCTCAGAAATAATTGGAGCAGACAGATAGAGAACGCCGATTGCACAGATAAGTATGTGATATAAACGATAGTACGAATGCAGAGTCACAGTCGACTACTCTCGCAAGGGATACTGGTGACCATGAAACGCCTAAGGCAGTGATGGATGGTACGAATCAGAAGGAAAAGCCTACCTTGTTTTCCATCGACATAGCTCATATCGAGGCCACTGCGTTCACCAAATTTGATTTCGCCGATCAGAAGACAAGCTGCCAGTGTACTGTAAACTTCGAACTTTTCGTCACCAGTAATACCCAGGCGGTCCATGGCATGCTAAAAAATTAGCAGTATAAGAAATTTTGAGGGTAACTCTTCAATAAATTCATACATCGGTAAGAAGACCATTTGCAACATCGTCGATTTCCTTGTCAACACAAACGTTGCCCTGATTCAAAAATTTGTAGCGATCAGCCGTTTGGGTAAGCAGCAGCTTTCGGCGCATCTCATTCGGGAACGCGTTCGATAGAAGTTGATAGAAAACGTGGAAATTGCGATTGCCAGTATCTTGATTGACGACACGTGACTTCTCCAAGAGATCTGAAAATTAGTATTTCTCGAAACACAAACAAAATCGAACGGGCAGTCAGGATTACACCACTCCATTCCCTTGGTAGGGGCCGTATTATTGTTCTAATGCTCGGGTACCCCCAGGAGGCCCGTCGCGCGGCAAAAAGGCAAAGTCAGCGGACGAGTCGCGCGCGTACTATAGGGATTTCGCGTCAAGTTAAAAGAGTGTCCCATTGCACGTCCTACATCGCACATCACGCGCTGCAACTCGTCCGCCGACTCTGCCTTCTTGCCGCGCGACGGGCCTCCTGGGGGGTACCTTTAATGCTGCACACTAAGCAGATCACAGGTAGGCTCTTAGGAGAATTCGTACAGCTGCACTACCCTTCCTCTCTCCCACAGCTGCCGAAGGCGAGGCTGATGACCAGTAACCTTCATGCTAATCTTACCACATCTACATAAGATAATGTGAACTCACAGCATTCGATCTGTGCCGACTGGAGTTTTCCGTGCTCGTTGAATTCAATTCTTATGAATTTTCCCTGAAACAATAATGAACCTTAACAAAATCGGATTTCAAGAAGTTGGAGTATCAATCACAGTGAGTCCTCTGAAGTTAGATCTCAGCTCCCAAAATTTTCATGGCGTGTCCTGAGCTAACTGTTCTGCATAAGTACGCAAAGAGTAGCCCAGGCTGTTGCGCCCCGGGTAATATCGGTCGACGACATTCTTCACACGGCACGTCAAGAGGTTTTCGTCGTGCCAATGAAGCTCTTCCACGCGATTATTCACAACAGTCCCAGCCGCGTGCCGTCTGAGCTCTCCACGTTTACGTTCACTCTCCACACTACTCTCACACAGTACAGAGCCATGATCAAACTTTTGACCGTCATTCACCGTGATCGAGACCCCGGGTACTGCCTGGAGCCCAGCAAGAATTCTTGTGCCCTAGTCCTCTTCCTTTCCTTTCTTTCCGGTGGGAGGCTTGATCGTGTTGTGCCCCCAACATAAGCTTCAAGACCACTACAACTTTGTTGAGTTATATACTTGCTATGCCTTGCGATCACTGGTATGCTATGCAAACACAGTATTGGTTTCCTTCGTCGCTACCAAGAAGCTCCACATAATTAACGGTGCTAGTTGGGTCCCTACATCTCAGTATCCACCATGAAAAATACTACTGTTTGCTTACAAATCGCGAGCTGTTGTTGTTGTGTGTTGTTCTGGCGTTTCCGAACGCTTCCAGTAGAACACCGGCAGATATCACATCACCACCAACGGCGCTGCCATGAGCGTCGTATATCCGTTCACCAGCCCATTTGCTCAATTCCTGCGGCTGTTCCTTTGTTGTTGTACAACGCACCAGACATTCCAGATAGGTATATCGATTGATTTCTTCGTGTTTGCTGTTTTTGCCCAGCGCCCAGATTCTTCCGCTAAATCGGTACGCGCCATTTTAGAGGAAGGTGATCTTTAAAAAAAAGCCGATCTTTATAGAGTAGGTAACTAAACTCACGTGAATGAGTATCTGAATGTTAGCGGCCACTCTGAAATACCAAGTGTTACTTGGCAATTAAGCCCTTACAAAAAAGGAGTTTAACGTAAGGTTGACAATGCACTGCATTGAACCAGGTTATCTCAGGGGTCATCCGAAGCGACACAACCGCTGAGGTGTGAGCTAGATGTCAACCTAAAGTTCCGAAAACCAAGTTATCGGCTCTGCCTTTTTACCGCTGGTGACATGGTCGCATGGAATGAACTTTTCTGCCAGCTCGCTTCCGTGAAAGGCTTATTTAACCAGTGATACTTCGGGCGATCTACCCGAATTTTGTGAAAATTTGCAGTTCGGCGAACTATGGGAATCGAAGAGGTACTACAAGAGTGCCAGAGTGAGGCTCTGAGGCTAACTATGTGATGCTCCACTTCGCAGCAGGCGTACAACCCTACGTTGGTACAAGTACCAACGGGGGGGGTCGTACCCACTTTAGTCGCTCGAAATCACGTGTGGGATTGAGGTGAAACTAAGATTTCGTGGGTAGTAGGCTAGGTGAGTGGAGGGCGCACAGGATAAAAATTTTACCCACCCACCCCCCTCCCGCGCTCCGACGGCCACGATTTCGGAAGGGAAAAAGTGGGCGGTGGCTTTTCGCTGCGAAGATGGAGATGGAGTTGAGTGTGGAAAAGGGGTCGCACGATTGGGGGGAGGGGGCTCGTCAAGAATTTTCGAAAAGTAACAAACCCTCATTAGGCCAGACCTAGTTTCCAGTGTAGCAATCACACGCTCACGAGAAGTTTTGTAATCGGCCGACAGAGTGCACGAGAGTTCCAGGCGGGGCCACTTGACGGGCCATCGGCGACATTTTTTTTATTTTAAATCGTGAAGATTCTTCGGTGTGATGATACCTTACTCTCGTTATAAACACTATCCCGCCCAAAACGACCAGCCATCTCGCCGCCGTCAAAGACCCACCACCGCCTCATGTAGCTGGCATCCCACTCCCATTCCTCGAAACAAGCCTTAGCCCACCCGTGCCAAAAATTCATTTCACTCATAACAACTGCCGCGCTTTCGGGGAGAACATTCGTCAAACGGTGGATTGGGAGGCTAAGTGTATCACCGTTCAAAATAGGAATGTCAAACTTGCCCTCGAAAATTCTGTTGAATTTTCTCACAATTCCAAGAATTCCGTATGTCTCAAAGAAATTTCAGATCTTTTTCGAAAGTGTCCCCTCACCCTCTACAGCCCGTCAAATGTCCCCTCACCCTCTCCAACCCGTCAAATGGTCCCACTGGATCATTCCGCTTGCTTCCGTTTTTTGGAATCACATAGCCTCCAGCCTCTGCTGAGCCCCGAACCATTTCGCTTCCAGTCACGATATCGCTAAAGTGGTTACGACAATTCCCAGTCTACTCTGAGTCACGATTTCAGTGGTCAGTGGGGCTACATCCAGGGAACCCATCGCCACGCGTTCGCGATCTTTGGCCGAGTTCGCGAAGATCGCGAACGGGTGATGGGCTTAGTGGTGATGGACTGATCGACTTTTCTGCTTGTTAAATGGAAAAATTCTCATGAATATGACTCGGAACAATGGTGAAAAGTTTCAGCGGCGATCATATTTTCGTGTCAGGGGGACGATCAAGTGAGTAAGCCGTCATCAGCGCTTGTCACTAACCAAGAGCCTCAGGGAGGGGCCATTAGGGAGGTTGTGAGCAGGTTGTGTTTCCCCTAGCGTTTCTCCCCTCTCCTGAGCTTACGATTAGTCCTAGAGTCACCTACCATCGGCCCTGTTCCGAATTTTGAACCCCCCCCCCCCAAGAACATGAGCGCCGATTCAGTTATTGAGAGTTTCAATAACGCCTAATTTCTGAATGTGAAATAAGTTTTTCTGAAGGGTGTGCCCCAAAGAAAGCAGTGGTGTCAGTTTCTGAGGAAAGAAACGAACAACATAGAATGACTGGTAGATGAAACTAAAGTCCTTGAGCACCACTTACCTCTCAGGATGCCGTCGTATGCGCTTTGAGCCACCATATAGACATGTGGGTAGCCGTCACCAACTCCCGTTCGATATGTTGCCATTACATCCGTTGTGTAGATTGGTAGCGTACGCCATGGGTTCAGTACCACACAGAACAGCCCGCAGTACGTCTACAACAGAAATTTCATAATATGTTGTCCATGATATTGCTAAAGAAGAGGTAGCGCAATGGGTAAGAGTAACGCTTCGCATCTAACACATCACAGGACCAAATTCAGCCTAGATCAACAGACCCCTTCAAAAAGAGCACTACACGAAAAGAAGGACTTGAACTGGAGCTGTAACATGGAAACTCTATACTTGGCAGAACAGTCGGATTCAAGCATTGCAAGGCTTTGAAAATCGCTAACCTTTGGAAATCAAGAATGTTTTTAGATACACTTCTCTGCTTCTCCGCGCAATTTCTAATTTTAAACGTGCTCTCAGGAAGGCTGCTACCCTGCCTT